GCCCTCCGTGGGCTAAACTCGGAAACAGGAGCCCTCCGTGGGCTAAACTCGGGAACAGGAGCTCTCCGTGGGCTAAACTCGGGAACAGGAACTCTCCGTGGGCTATACTCAGGAACAGGAGCCCTCACTGGGCTAGACTCGAGGACAAGAGCCCTCACTGGAGCGAGCTCTGGGGCTGGAGCCGACACTGGAGCAAGCTTGACAATGGCACGGCCGGCGAGCTTGACAGCAGGGGAGAAAAATGGAAAAACAAAAGACTATTCAAAACGAAAACAAAACACGGGAGAAGGGGCGCCGCTTACTGTTTAGGTCCGCTGTTCTGTCACGGTTCACACTGGGAGCACGTGAACGAAGAAGCGAGGAGATGAGGAGTAAAGCAAATTCCAAAGTCTTTAATGAAAAACAAAGCTGGGAACACAGGAACATGGGAAACACTGAGAACACGAAATGACATTTAACAGCGGATGGGAAACGAGGGGCAGAACATACTTTAAATACACAGTAACTAATTAAACACAACTGGAACCAATAGAACTAAATAGGGACAGGAACAGGAAAAACCAAATATGGGCATAATAATCAAACTGGAGCACGTGGGGGAGGAAAACACAACACGAGACATGGAACAGAGTCTGACAAATCTAAAGTTGAAACTATTCATTATTTGATTAAATGTTTGTAACAAAGTTTGTAGTCACGGGAAGGAGGCGGCGGGAACCGGTGAACATTCAAACAAATCTTTAATAATAAAATAAACACAAAACAGCGCGACAGCCCCTCGCGGACCACTGTCGCGCACAATCAGAACCAAAACACAAAATAAAATCCAGGCCTGGTCCTCTCTCGTCTTTCACTGTCGTAGCTCCTCCTTTTATCCTTCCGGAGCTCCTCCGTGGGACTCGAGACTGGTGAGTGGTGCAGCTGTCATGCATTATCAATTACTCCACCGGCCTCGCTATTATTCGGCTATTTTTTGTCTTTTTGAAACTGCATTCAAAATCCACTTGGCTCAAAAATTTGAGGGGGCACGTGTCTTGTAGGCATGACACCTCTGTGCAGAGGAAAGGGATCACGCGTGACCACGGTGTATTATGCAGGGCCACAGGGAATGCTCGAACACAGGAAAGACGTGATCAGAAGGGGACAATCATGTAACATACCGAACTGAAGCGGCAGAGAACATTAATCACGGCGAGCTGTAGTCTATTGAGGTTTATTGCGTGTACCGCGCGAAGGCCAATAAAATATTCATAATTCTGTTATCAATAGTTTTATCACGTGTTTATAATGACAGTTTGATCACTGAAAAATAATTTCAAAAGTATAACTCTACAGCCTTATTTTTTATTATGCTTCGCTATATGTTGTGGATCATCTAAAATCACGATCTAAAACGTAGCTTAATGTGGTAAGAACTACGACCAGAATACCTACATAACAGTATTTTTTACCACACTTCCTTTGTGTTATGAACAATTTACTACAAAAACAGACAAAGACAAACTAATGAGACCATAAAAGCAATTCAGTTTAATTTTAAAGTGTAAATATCCTGTGTTGCTGGCGAAGGCCGTTTACACCAAGAGAACAAAGAAATTAACAAAAGAATGTGTTTTTTTTTTCCAATCGCGAGAAAGTGAGGTAATGAGTAAGTACAGGTTTTCGTTAATGCTTAGGCCTATCCTTTGACGCGAGTGACATGAGTTTGAATCTGACAGACAAACAAAATTTGTTTTTGCTACATGAAGTGACCTAAAAATAACATTTACAAAAATAAAATATAGCTGCAAGCAATGATGGCGGGCCCAAGCCATTAGTGCAAAAGCCTCCCACCCACCCCCCCACACACATAGAGGTAGCGTGAAATCAAATGTCTGATAGTTGTTTAATTTTCTGTTAGCCTTTAGAACATTATAAATTCATTAAAACTAAGCATGTTTCCTCAGAATGACTTGTTCTTCATATATTAAAAGTTTTGAAGAGTTTGGATAATGCACTTTAAAAATATAGGAAAATAGAGAAAATATAGTTTCCTTTTTTACTGTTATTCAGTAAATCGCCATGGCTACACCATTCAAGATATCCAAAATCCATTCACAATTTAAGTTCCTCAATGTTTTGCAATCATGTTGGTAAAGTTTGGTGTGAATTCTGTGATTTTCATACGAGCAGTATGCATTAATTCACAGCCACATTTTTCCAAAAATCCACGTTCAAATCAAAATAGCCAACTTCCTGTTGGTTGTAGCTAATCACTGTAAATTAGAAAGTTGTCCGGCTTGATGAGAACAATATATGTACTGAATTTGGTGACGGTAGGAAAAACTAACCCCCTCAGTTTTGTCAAAAGGTGGCGCTTCCTAACACCATTTATGAGATTTTGCCAGTGTCTAACAATCATTAATACTGATGTGTGTGTTGTGTTTCATGAAATTCTAAGCATGTTATCTGCCTCAAAAACACAGGAAACAAATGTTAAAGTTTGATGTGTTGCCATGGTAACAATATTTGAGATATCAATAATCCCTTCCCAGTTTTGCATCTGCCGTGTTTTGACATTATTCTGATGAAGTTTGAAGCAACTAGAGTAAAAATTAGATGCTGAATTCAAAGCATTTTTAAAATGACACACTTCCTGCTGCCAGTTGGTGGCGCTATAACTTTCAGTCATGATAATCACATCTATGTGATCGGCCTCATACAGCGAACAAACCGCTGAAATTTCATAAAAATCAGACAATGTGTGCAACAGTTATTAGACACTTCCTGTTTCTCATTTCTTGCCATAACTTCATCGCCTCGCCACGACCAAACCGTTCGAGATATCAAAAATTCCTTCGCAATTTAGCATCCCCAATGTCTTTAGATCATGTTCACCAAGTTTGGTGGCAATCGGGTAAAAAACCTATGACAAGTATATCAAATTCCACAGCATGCGCTTTTTACACAGCCCTAAATAGCCCTAAATAGCCAACTTCCTGTTGAGCGGAGCCTATAAGATGCAGTGCGAAAGTTGCTTGGCTCAATGAGATCTATATGTGTATTGAGTTTCATATGAATATGTGCAAGTATGTTTGAGATATACATCAAGTTTTCTGACTGTGATCCAGGGGGCGCTGTAGAGCCCCTGTGCCACGCCTGGGTCCCAGCCTCTTCAGCGTCCTAATGGCCGCAGATTCCAACGTGTGTGCCAATTTTCAGGAGTTTTTGAGCACGTTAAGGCCCCCAAAACCCCCCGTATAGTAAAAAAAAAAAATAAATATATATATATATATCGCTCCAAAAGAGTTTCATATGAATATGTGCAAGTATGTTTGAGATATACATCAAGTTTTCTGACTGTGATCCAGGGGGCGCTGTAGAGCCCCTGTGCCACGCCTGGGTCCCAGCCTCTTCAGCGTCCTAATGGCCGCAGATTCCAACGTGTGTGCCAATTTTCAGGAGTTTTTGAGCACGTTAAGGCCCCCAAAACCCCCCGTATAGTAAAAAAAAAAAATAAATATATATATATATATATAGCTCTAAGCAGCGATGGCGGGCCCAAGCTATCAGTGCAAAAGCCACCCCGGTGGCATCAGGAAAATTGTGAGAGAGAGAGAGAGAGAGAGAGCAATATATAAAACTTTGGTAACACTTTACAATGAGTTTCAATTGGTAATATTAACTATACTGGTTAACATGAACAATAATTGTATAGCATTCATTAATGTTAATTTATGTTAAGTTAAAAATGAATTAATACATTATTAGAAATTAAAGTTGTATCTTAGCATTAGTTTATGTACTGTGAATTAACATGAGCATGAATATTTTTTATTAACTAACATTAAAAAAGATTAATAAATGATGTAAAAATATAGTTTCTTGTTAATGTTAGTTAATGCATTAACTAATGTTAACCAGAGACCTTATTGTAAATTGTTACCAACACTTTTTATGATCTATAACCATTTTTTAAATATATTGTTTATTGTTAGTTCATGTTAGTTAATGCATTAACTAATGTTAATCAAAGAGACCTCATTGTAAATTGTTGCCAACACTTTTTATGATCTATAACAATTTTTAAAATTAGTTCAATGACCTATTAGCATTTGTAATAATAATAAATAATTAATTGAACTAAGCAGTAAAGGGATAGACTTAAAAGATCTCTTATCCTATCAGTGAGAGGTTAGAATATATAAAAGTTGTAATGATTTTTGCTTTAAAGATTTTTAAAAATTATTTTAATGCTCTATAAGCATTTCTACAATAATTACGTACAAGTATACTGACAGTACAGAACATTTCAACTGATTCTATGCATTATTTTTCATTCTGATACACAGAATTAGCTGAAACAGGATTAAGGTTTAAAGATTTTTAATCCTATGACTACATCTGGTGGCCATCTTTGGTATTACAGTCTTCACCTGTCACCTATAATGTGTGATAGTTAAAATTTTTTGGTGGCCCCTGAGCATGATACACTTTTTAAACTAAGCATGTTTCCTAAGAATGACTTGCTCTCCATATGTAAAAAGGTTTGAAGAGTTAGGATAATGAACTTTAAAGATATAAGAAAATTACTGTTATCTTTTTTACTGTTACTTTAATAAGTCGCCATGGCAACACCGGTAATCTTTTTGCAATTTAGCATTTGCAGTATCTTAGCATTATGTTGACAAAGTTTGGTGTGAATTGTATGAGTTTTGCAAGAGTAGTATGTATTAATTCACAGCCTGATGTTTCCAAAAATCCACATTCATACCAAACTAGCCAACTTTGTGTTGGTCGTAGTGTAGGATCTCTGTCGAACAGACACGAATAAACCCTTGGCCACCTCGTGAGCCATTGAACAACCACATTCCAAAGAAACAAACTAAAGATTCTCCTCCGCAGCCATCTGTGGTCGTAAAACTAATTAATGATCAACATAACGCCCGATTGTCTGGACCGGCTTCCTGTCAAGGCCTGGTCCTTATCCCTCAGGGGATCGGAACTTCTAAAACACTAACTCAATTACCAGGAGAGAAGAAGCTCCCTCTGTCTGAAGACCCTCCAAGGACCAGATGTGCAGTGTAACTTTGACCAGCTTCAGCATAAATCGATAATCCAATAAACAAGACAGACAGATTTACAGCTCCATCGTCTGAGCGGGAAAATCAGCAGACCTACACCGCGTGACTTTCTTGACCCTTTTTCCATACATTCCGGAAAGATGCGTGTTTCTCTCGGCAGAACACGCGAACTCGCATAGATGATTTCAAAAGACAATCATTTAAAAGTATAAAAGGGCAACTATATTCACAAATAATATGTTTTATGTCTTTTATATGCTTGATGTGTTTCATGTAATCGGTGCAACTTTAATCAATGTTTTATAACCCCTTTTAGCAGATAAAGCTATTAATATGTGTAAGGTATATGAAGTTTAGTGTTGAATGAAAACTTGTGATAATTGCAGAACATTGAAAGGAATGAAAAGTTGTTATTTTGAACAGTGGGTGTTGTACGACACTTTATAGAAGTTATTAACAAAACCTGCAAAGACATTTCCCCAGTGATGAATTGAACAGCATGTTAATTTATGCTCAAAGAGGAACCATACGGGGGCATGGCTAAGCCCTGCAACAGTGTCCAATTGGGACAATCGCTTCTGGGATGGACCAAATCGGCTTGCTTAAAAACCCAATGTCTGAACAGATCAGTGCTTGCTCACTCTCTCGATCTTTGGCTCTTTCGCCTTGTTGACTGCGCTACAAAGCGCTCACACGCTGTAACATCACGTGAGCGAGACTCCAGAACTCAAACACTTCGTTGATGCTTCGTAACTTTTCAGAACTGAAAGTATTGCAAACTCAGGCTCTCTCAGACGAACTTCAAGGCTCCTCCATAACCAAGCAACGCCCATTCACCACGAGGCTCTCCCAAAAAGACGTCATACAAATGACAGATCGGCAACCAATCAGAGGCTCCGGGATTCCCTGGGACTAGCCAATGAGGAAAACCCCTCTCAGCTCTCAACTCAAACGCAAGTAAAACAAGGTCTCCTTACTAGCTGGAAAACTGGTGCTGAATTGATCTTAAGCAACTAAAGATAAGCCAAATTTCTGCTTTTGTGATTTTCTTGGAGCGATCTAAGAGCGAATAATTTACTAGACTTTTGGGACTTCCTCAGAACTCCGTTACCTCTCATCCTTCGAACTGTATATGTCTGTGTGTGTGTGTGTGTGTTTTCATTAGTTTAGTACCATGTAATCTATAGAGTAGCTCAAATAAATTTATGTTTCATTATAAAGAATTATTGTCTTGTGTTGTGTATTGAAAGTTAAACTTTGCCCAGATTTTGCTACCTAGCTCGTAGCTTATAAATTATCACTAGCATGTATTAACCTGTGGCCAGGGATAATACAAATATCCAAATTGTTAAGATATACTGATGTTAATGTCTCACTGGACGAACAGTTGATAAAGTGTAAACTATCAAATTTGGAATCAGTTCAATCAGGTGGATTTTGAATCTTCAGATTCGATTCCCCTCTCAAAAGAGTTACATTTCATTACAGTAGCTATTGTCCGTAAATTAGAAAGTTGCCTTCAAGTTTTCTGTTTTCTGTGTTCCAGGGGGCGCTGTAGAGCCCTTGTGCCATGCCCGGGTCCCAGCCTCTGCGGCATCCTAATGACCGCATATTCCAATGTGTGGGGCAGTGCTGAAACATTCACCAGCTCCCTCTGAAGAACTTTACCACACGACAAAGCTAAAAGAACCTGCTCCAGTCAACCACAAATCATCGCATGGCTTGGACCTCAAAGACCTCGACAAGCTCACCAGGAACATTGGCAAATTCACCCCAAGTGTGCCAGGTAGCCAGGATGTCCAAGCTTATCTGCAAGACGTCGATTTCCATCTGGAAATGAGACC